GGGGGGGGGAGGGATAGCAAGTAGGGAGTTTCCACCAGAGTTCCAAGGTGACTGGTATTCACACGTGCCACTGATTGGCTAAGCTCAACACTCCAGCTGCACTGAAGACGTGGACTGAAGAGTTCTTCATGAATCCGAGAAACAAATAGGAAACTTTGTAATTTTGAGCATTAAGATGCAACTCCATGAACAACAAACTGTGATTTCCAGACGTCTGGATCCTAGACATGATAACCTCTTCAAATAGTCTATTTCGATGTCTTAACTTGACAGTATATTAAGATATAAACCGGAGAAGATGTGCTCTCTCAGAGATTTTAGGATAGTTTTATTCGTTTCATTAAAATAAAATTTGACACTCCAATACATTCAAAAGTTAATACAATTAATGTTCTCGTCAAATCCCTAAGTTCATAGGCGCTCGAAATAGAACATAATTGTCTTCAGAAAATTATAATCTATTTGAATAACATGCCATTACTTTATTCAGGTAAATCCACCTCCGCAACACTTTCCCCAAAGGCTAATAGGCAAAGAAGACCTTCCACACAGAAACGAATATTATAATGACACCTACATAACTCCACCCTCCTCTTCCCGCCTGTCGACACCTTCCTCTTATGAAAATAAAGTTAACTCTCAATTCACCTATCCACATGCCCAGAACCAGCAATACGATGAGTTGTGGCGCATTACAGCTGAGAATCTTCGCATGGTAAGGATATGCGAATAATTGTGCGTGCACAACTATTGACAACATATTTGTGAGGACAATTCTCAAATTAACTGCAATTGATTATACTGAGTCGATTATAATTGTTCGGATAAAAGCGGAGAAGAATCGATTTGAATCAATGTCCCTTAGCTTGACGAAGTTTGTTTTTGAGTCTTATGCTGTCAGCCTCGATAAGGAGCAGCAGAATACGATTTCCTATTCCCAGTTCAAACATCTTTGACGCTTGCATTAACGTGTACTTTGCAAATGATATTAGATTTAACAGGTTGTATTGAAAATTATGTCAGTTATAATTACTACCTACTGAAACCCTTTTGCTCAATTTTAAGGAGCAGTCCAGAGCTTGTATTTTGCGGCTTTCAGCGAGTAGTTATCCTCATTAACGAAAGAATAAAATTCTTTTAGTACAAAGGACATCCTTGGTAATTTCTAGCGATTTTCTTAATGGTCTAGTAAAAAATGAAACGAAATGTCCAAGAATATTAGAACAATTATTTTCTACCAACTAGTTTAACCGAACACCACACTAGACTACTAATTTCATTCAGTATCCTGTATTGCTATTGACACTTAGTGTCTCCAACTGTATGAGAATTCACTGGGAAATTGTGCTCCAGAATCTAGAAAGATATTTCTGAGATGATTTATTTCCACCTTTAAATTAAAAAATTACGGACTTCTAGACTTCATGTTGTGTCGGCAACTTGACACGAGTTTGGAAATATTATAGTCTAAAGATATTTAGTGAGCACTACCTTGCACTGAAGTCATCTAATGAGGAATTTATTAAAGCATCCGCGTTATGGCTCAAGACACCTCCACACTGACTGTTAGGTCATGTTTGCTTCAGCGTGTCAATAAAATAAGCATCCGATTTTACAATGGGATCGACTAATTGCGCTCTATTTTATAGCTTCTCATATCGCATTTAAACATACCTCTGCCTGCGAATCCCAACGCATTAGCTCTCGAGCTCAGATCAGGAATCTACATTGCTTTATTTATCAACGATTTCCTGGGCTTCAAAGCTGTTAAAAGGGTGAGAAAGCATCTTTTGTCAAATAGCTCTATTTTTCACTGCTGGAATGAAATTTCCCAAAACCATTTGGCGCTTCAAACCGATTTTTTTTGTAGATTTACGAAGTGTCGGGCAGTTCGTGGCAGTCGCGAGCACGCCAAAATTTGCTCTCTTGTAGAGAAATCATGTTAAATCTTGGGGTCCCAAAGGTATGCCTACTTAACATATTTCAGTACAAATGATTTTATAGATTGGGGTGAACTATCTTACTATTTGTGACAAGCAACATATTTTTCCCTAGGTCATTCCTCTTCATGAACAGATCCATTTGATATACTACTATTCCATTATTCTCACGTTGCTTCCAAGTACATATTGATCAGGAATGGGAGGCATTAAATATTCAGGGATATTCAGTTTTTATCGTTACGAGTTGTTAATTTTAACTTTAATCCTTGTTACAAATATTTTCCTAAAACTATTAAATAAGTTATTATTGCAATCAGATCTACATTTATGGGTCAGTCAGACTACTAGTATAGTACGATTATTTTAATTAAATTTAATAAAATTAATTTTGAATTTTTTTGGGAAGAATGTCACTCGTGCCCAATATCAAAATGCAGATTTGTTTTCTATAAGTTTGCGATTGATTTTATATAGTCGCACAGAATCTCTTGGCCTGTTAATGTCAAGATTACAATCCCCTACCAAAGTGATTTGTAGTTTTTGGTTCTGTTCTTTGTTAAAACGTCTTGTATATCAAGGCTTTTTGGTACGTTAAGCGGTAATGAGGTGAGACTTATAGAATTTTAACATTGTTTTTGAACAAATGTAGTAGCTTCCAATTAATTCAATATTTACTCATTAGTGAAGATACATTTTGTCATTCAATGCCAATGCCTCTAATGACTTTCACGAGGCATCTAATTGTCAGCATAATATAATTCCATAGTTCCCATTAATTGTCAACTTTTACTCACCTAACTCGGATTTTTGACTCATTACTGACAATTATAAAGGAAGAAGAGATGATATTGGACGAAAGAACATTGTGTTACTTTCTTACTGCCATTGAACACTAAGGGGTATAGGAATGAGGGGACGCCATTATTCTAATAAGATTGGCTGGCATAGCCTTTTTACAATTCCACAGTAACAATGTTTCTGGTGGCTTGCATCTTTCTTCAGTGGACCAACCATCATTTCCTCCTTCTCTTCATAATTATGCAAAGGACATATCTTGATTTACCCAATTTAAGCAAAAACCTCTATTTATTCATTACCGATTGGAAAGTGGTTATGGTTAAGGGTTTACTTTAGCTAAGCACAATTTCATTTCAGCACCGCCTATTCTCAGTTACTCGAGTACTCCAAGCAGATCCTACAGTTGGCCTATTTGGTATTTTTCATTCTTTACAAACGCTCATGGATGTATGGGCCAGTCGACCGAGTACCTTCATACCCGGAGGTCTTGGTGTTCGAGAGAAGCTTACGAACCAGCCCGTCACAAAGAAATCGCTTCTTGGAGATATCACTACCAACCGAAAATTGCGCCACCAGCACCAATTGCAAAACCCTCATCATCATAGAAACCGAACTTACTCGAATCCTAACTTCTATTCGGGATTCGCTGGTGGTGTCTTTTCTGATGTCTGATTTTATTATTTTCTAATTTATATTTCCGTATTTTCTCACATCTCTTCTATCTCTTGATACACAAATATATGATTCCACGATCTATACTCTAAGGCGTTTAGTTTAATTATGTTGATCAAAAGGGTATATGGATTAGATTAACTCGTCAGAAGAATGCAATTTTATATATCAAAGAAAGGATATTTTTTCTCTGAGAAAGACTACAGAAGAGAATTCCCTATACTTATAATATATTATATAGTTTGCGATGTTAACATGAAATCAATATCGTAGAAACCTTTGGAGATTGACAATTGCATTATTTTAAATGACAAACGTTAACTTAAAGCACTTAACGAAACCTTCTAAACCCCAAGATGTGCGTATGAAGAGATACTTGATAGGTAATGAGAAAAGAGCCTAATGCTGTAGGAGATTTCGTTAAGCATTTTAGAAGAAAATTACAAGGAAGCAGCATGAGATATGCAGATTTTTGGTAACATATATGAGAAATTTAATTGATTTTCTTTCAGGAATTTAAATTTTAAGAATTGAGAGGCACGCTTGTAGGAAAATAAATGTTGAATGGAATTGGTCCGTTTCTCTGTTCATCGAAAAAACGAATTCTTTGTTCATCCATGGTCTCAACTAAAATCTTCGTCAACTTATTGAATGACAGGCATGGTTTGGTTAGTTTAGTTGCCACTGTCGTCAAAGTATGCAAAATGGCTTCATTCAACAAGCAATGTTCGCAAGAGAATCTTGGCTAGTTCACATCTCATTATAATCTTAAGATAAAAACGTACTTAAATCACCGTGTCTCGAATTAGTACCCTTTGGCATTACAACCATAAAACAATCGAAGTCTTTTAGATTTTTCGATAATCCAACTAGTAAGTTACATTCCATTTCGACTGTTACAACAACTATTTTTTCACTTATTCTTATAAACAACATTTCTACCATCGCATTGACAACAAGGTTAAATAATTATAAACTCGTGGTAACAGATATATTTCCCATTAACTAAATGGGAAATTGGCTTACCATTTCTATTCCGAAGATTACCAGTCACTGTCAGCTGTCCTTGTCTATAAGGAGAGATTCTTATTGAGACAGCATGATCAACTTCTCCCTTTAACCAACTATGACCACAATTAGGAACCAAGAGTTAAATCCAAGAATATTGACCTTGGAGATTGAAATATCGATAGGAAGGCGACAATCGGGTCAGTTAAATAATTAAGTGAAATGCAAGATACCTGCTTCCTTATTTACTGGCTATTGAAGATACTCTGCCCCACCAGAAGCGGAATTAACCTCTATTGAAATAATTCTGATAAAATGTCCTACAATTTCAATCCAAACTCCGTAATTTTAAATCACGCGACTCGAACACTAGTTCACAATGCATTGTTGCAGATCAAATAATCCTTAAGTCATACGCGCAATGTTGCGTCAACTTTAAGAAAATTTCAATAAACTTGCACACCACCCACCTTTACCGGGCTGAATAAGCCTATTTACTACCTGATCACAAAGCATATGCAAGAGAACCACCTCCCACTCCCTCTCCGAACTCATTGGTTCAATGGAAAACTCAAAGGTGACACACCATAATAGATATAGGCAAAAAATCGAATATTTCTTACTTGTCAAATAGAAAAAACAAACGCTAATCTCTTGTTGTTGCAAGGTTGCATCAGACTGGGTAACTCTTCGCCTGTTCTTCAAGTTTAAGCACACGATTAATTTAAAGTCAGACAAACGAATATCAATTGCATAAAACACGATTGGCTAAACGGCAAAATTTAGGTTGTCTATAATTGAGTACTCCAATAAAAATGGATTTACCTTGTTTTCGGATTTATAGGGGCTCGGTATTAGTGGCATTTAGATCCTCGGTGTCTAGCCACGTACCAAAACTTGCTTGAAACCCTCCGACATGAGTACAGTTGAGGGTCGTTATGGTCTCTAAACATCTGTAATTGGCACAATGTACCATGGCGTGACGCAGTTACGGCGTGCTTAATTGTTCGCTGTTATAAAATATGCAATCAACTTAAGCACCCACTCTGTCTGGCGTCAGTTACTGACACAGGGCTCTAAACCGATGGCCACTTAGACCTTAACCAGAGGAGAGCAGTGAGTCGATCAAGTTCGTACTCATTAACTTCACAGACCTATGAAGGGGAAGGCCGGAGACGTTTGGCTGGATAGTTTGCTGAGAATTTAGGTGTGTTACGAATTTCACAATTTAAGTAATTCTATCATAACTTTCCATGGACAATTCAGAGGGACTCTGTGCCAATCTACGTAAAAGTTAAATTATCAGTATATGGCTCTTTTTCTACTCTTTTTCTGATTCCACTCTTAATGGCAACCAGATGTTCCATGAACTCTGTCTTCCTTGTCATACTCACTTACTAGCAGAGGCAGTCAGAAATTTTTGAAGCCAAGCTATATTTATCTTGCGCATACTCACACAACAAAAAGTCTATTAACCGGCAGTTGACTTCCGACTTCAAACTACCATCACCCCACTGTATGTCATATTCGAAACTTCAAACTACCATCACCCCACTGTATGTCATATTTGACCCCTTTCACAGTACTCACCTCACCTTTTTCACTCTACCTCTGTGTCTGTCTCTATTACATCTTTGAAACACTCTTCTATCCCATCTCTCTCTCGACTTTTTTCACTTTGATGTTCCTTCCCCTCTGTGAAGCCTGAAGGCAACTAAAGGGCTAATGATAACCATCAAAACGTCTGCCATTTGATATAAGTAAATCTTAAGCATTCCAACGTCACTCGTGGAGGCAAATGTGTCTTGTCTGGTGACTAGACAGACAGTGTTTCGAAATTTATTGTTGCTTAGGCACAATGTGCTCAGAAACAGTTCGTGTTTGAATGAATTTATTCATGGAAGATTAAGCAGAGTTCTCGAACTTCACTTCTTTTGCACTACCTTCGACTGATTGATGTGACTTTCTGTTAGCATTGACCTCCACAACAGGAGGTGCAGCAGAAAGCCCCTTATGGTACAAGAGTAGACATCGGATCATTTTTAGCAGAAGCAGCTTTATTTTTTCTGAATAAAAGGTCTTTTACTTTTACGGTTAAACAATTAAACATTTAGTAAGGAAGTGAACAGTCCACCGTTTGTTGAGAAACTGATGACATTATGCTGTCAGAGCTCGCGAAATAAGCGTTCTCGGCAATTACTCTAGCATAGTTAACTCTCCAAATTAAAAAGAGTTTCCAGAACACAATAAAATTGCAATATCTTAAAGATATGTGCACATATTCATTCATACATAACCGTATTCCACTTCTCTGAGTATCTCTCGTCTTAATAAATGTCAATCAAGAAGTTGTAAAGATCAAATCGAATTTATAGTTTAGCAAACCGTATGGTAAGTGCCAATAATACTCTAAAAGCTCTGATTTCAAGGCAGTTTAATTGTGTAGCGAATAAGTTGACATCATCATTGAAAAATTCCAGTGGATTACTCAGGCACTTGAAGTAAAAAAAACAAAGCTAAAGATGCACCGTTGCTCTAAGAAAAGCAGCGAAATTACAAATTTTCTTGATTAATTGTGTAATTTTTAATGAAATTCCCATGATAAAAATGTTAATTCGCGAGTACTAACAATGATTTTTCCATTGACTTAAATGGCGCATCTGCTTAAGTCGCACTCAAACAACATTTCATTCGCGCGAAATCAGTTAATAATTATATTGGAAAATTTGCATTTTTTAAGTTTGATACCCGAGAGAGAGAGAGAATGGCAAACAAATAAAAAAACGAGACATCTAAGTCCTCTCAAAATGTGCAAGTTTCACCAGTCTTGTAAACGCTACTGCACTGCACCTCAAAATTCATACAAAACACCCACCAGTTCACCGAGTTTAGTGAGTCAGGACCGCTGCACCAATGGGAAATTCAGACACCAAGCGAAGAATGCACACACAAGACACCGAGCACACGATCGGGGTGCAGGTAGAGACTAATGTGATTGGTTTTCGGGAATCTTGATACTGAGAAGGTGAAGTGAGGTCCATCATTTGTCAAATCGACCAGAGAGTTGATAGGATTATTACTGCAACCACAAACATTCAACGGCTGACGTAAAAAGATGTCACTGCAGTTGGAAGTGAAAGTCTTGGACGGTCTTAGTGGAAAGGGGCAAAGTATTATCAAAGCCAAATTCAGAGGTAACTTTTTGTTTAGTTGATTAGAAACATCACAAAATCCTATTTTTAAATTTTGAGTATTTACAAAAAAGAAATTACAATAGATATAGGCGATATTCTTTTACAGTTAATATTTCATGTCAAAATATTGAAATTTGTGTGGAATTTATATTTCTAAAATACCTTAAATTAGTTTATCTAGAAAAGTTAAAGTTGAAAAAGAATGCTATTTTATTGTATATACTTATTTATTTACATTTTCAATCATTCTAAGCCTGAAATGAATTATACTTAAAAAAAATTCTTTCATGTTTGAGAAACTATTCTCACCATATTATTGAATTTAAGAGGTTATTTTTTAACCTATGCATTCTAAAAAATAAGTTTTAAGAAAAAGTGTTACCACTCAAAGGCTTTAGCTCTCGTGTGAAATGGTTGCTTTGTTGAATATTTTGTTGTATCAAAAGTACTGAACTCCAAATGCGTTTAGATGAAGGGTTGCGTAAAGCAATTCTATTCGACGGACCTAGGAATGCACAAAATCCATAATCTGTTCTTAATCTGCTATCTATAAGACTGTTATATTCTCTGCTGTTCTCCGCAGTTGCAATTAACAAAATACTTTGAGTGAACTTCTCCGAGCGCCTAATATTGAGTTGAGATGAGAGGACAAAAGCAGATCATTTCACATTAAAATAATTCGATTTCATTAAAAATCATATGTGACATATGAAATGTAGAGAGCCTTTGCTACTCTTTACCAGGCGTGCTAATTAAAACTAACGTCACTGTGATGTATTACCATAACATAAAAGTAAGCTTTTAGTTGTCTTTTATTAGATCTGTTGCCCTTGTCTCACGAATAATATTTACGCGACTAGAAAAAAATAAGGCTTACGTAGGCAGCGCTTTAATATGATTGAAAAACATCTTGCCTACAAGTCATGAACGCCTATTCTCTTCCCCAGACCGTGAACTCTCTACCAAACCAGCTCATGGACAGAATTCATGCTACTTCGGAGAGGAGTTAGTATGGAAAGTCGCTCGACGTTTGGAAGATAATGATGATCTTGTTATCACCGCCTATGACTACAGCAAATATCGAATGAAGAAGTAAGCAAGTTATCTGTCATTCCTTATACTGAACCATCGGTACAATCTCATTCCCAATCCCTGTTCTAATTTTAGAATGCTTGGTTCAGTGACTGTGAACCTAGCCACTTTAGCTCAGAGGCACGTGCTTAATTTGGAGGAACAATTGGTTGATAGTGGCAAAATGGTTACCAATGTGAGTATTTATTTGATTAATAAGTAAAATATCCCATAATAAGGGTATTTCAAGTTTACTTTAAAAAAACTTTAAAGCCATTTAAGTTGTTTTGAAGATTTCTTGCAAACGTTGGGCTATTTAAATTCTTCCGTTTTGTAAGAGGTTACGTTTCTTGGAAGTAGAAGTGCAATCAGTCTACCTGTTGCCCTAAAGAAAGAAGACAATGACTTAGACCAAGGTAAAGAAAACTAGCTTTAACATTCCCTTGTATGGTTTTGTGAAATTCCGAAACAGAGAACAGGTAACCAGGTTATGTTCCTTTGTACTAGGGGAGAACAAAAAGGGAGTATCGATTAGAGCTCAAAGGATAAGATTTCAAGCATAATGCTGATATTTCTCACACTAATTGCTGTGTGATTCTCTTTGCCCGAAAAATTACTTCGTACATAGTTTGTTTAAACTTATTTCAATTATGGGATGGTTTTGATATTTATAACAAAACTCAAGACGTCTGCTAAATAATGCGCGCTGTGCAAAACACACAAGCATCAATAGGATGGTCCAGATCCAGCGTTTATTGATACAAACTTCATCAGAGATTCAAGACTTGTCATTGAACTTTACATGCAACTGAGGTGTGGTGCTACGATTTATATTATTTTAAAAATTTATTCCTTCCAGATGACCCTATCATTTGATCTCTTCTATCGACCTCCAGACCAAGGAGAGGCAGACTTAGATATTGACAGATTCGGACATCCACTTGCCGATCTGAGTGCAGTCAGGGGAGCAGATGACCTTGGAGAAGGCGACGCCGATTTTGGTGACGATGCTCTAGGGTGGGTGGTAACACACTCATCACAGTTCCAATAAATCATTAAATTGAAAACGATAAAATTTTACTTATACAAAATTTTCAACGAATTTTTAAGCTTCTGGAAGTAGAAAAACTTTGTTAAGTGGTTTTTACTTAAGTAGTTTTTTACGTTACTTGCTTGAGTCACACGATTTTCTAGCAGTCTTTCACCCATAAGACCAAAATAATCACTTAACTCTTAAATAAAATCAAAATCTTAATTTAAATCAAAGTTTCCAAACCACTTTAGTAGGCTACGAAAAGGCACTGTTGCATTTCATAATTTAAGGTTAAATGAAATAGTTGGTTAAGATATTTTGCAAAGAATGACAGACATGTGTACATAATAGGAAGTAATTAATTAATTCCATTAATTTATAGAGTGGGAGAAGATTTCGACGATTTGTACGGAGTGGCACCCAGTGGAAATTTGGATCTCGATGATTTTTCAGACAAATCTTCAGTTCTTTCTGGACCTGTTCGAAGGTTCGTCAAATTTAATTGAATCATTTTAAAATATCGATATTCTCCATTCCAGCTAATAAATTTTTTCGAGTAATATATCGATTTATTCCTATTTTTAGGGATCCAAGGTTAAGGCCTCTAATTGATCCAACAATTCTCAAGTCCGAAACTTTCACTGTAAGGGTTATGTATATGCATGAATTGCTCAAAATTCGGTAAAATTTTTCATATCATTTCTCGAAACTCACTCTTCAAACTATTTTACGCGCCCAGTGTGATTTTCGTGTGATTTAACAGTGATATTTTCTATAATTACTATTGCCCACCTTAATATAAAAAAGTTCAACACTTTTTTATTTTGGTAAGAAATCGACATCGATTAACTAAAGGTCTAATCAAGGATGAAAAAAATAAGTTAATGAAATTAACTATATTTTTGTACTATTGAATATGATTTTATCATATAAATAACGTATCGACAATACATGTTGAAATTAATGAAACGACAAGATTATTCCTTGGAGTATTAATTTATATTTTAAGGCAATTAATAAATAATCAATAACTGACCTGCCTATTCAATCAGATTCGTTGCATTCTATTTATTGAACCACACTCAGCCCTGCTTTTTGATTGTTAGCTTGAAATGCTACTGATCTCTCTTTGTCTCATTTATCTACTTTCAACAACTTGACCTCTCAATGTCCCTCTTATACACCTTTTCCGAAACCAATTTTGTGCAATTACAGTAGAATACTTCTCTCTCTATATCCTCCCCCCCCCCAGTTGCTACCAAACTACTGTGAAGTTTAACGATACATAAATGGGCTCCAACTCGATTTCCCTTTGGAAGCTCCTACGTTTTTAATGATTTCAAGTGGTGAATTTCAACTTTCTCCCTAATTTATTATTAGTGAATCACTGTCAATATGCAGATGACTTGCAGGATCAGCCTACAAAAATGTGTCACTACGCTGGAAGAATGACTTTTATTAAGAATACAATAAACCAGATTTGGATGCGAATACTATCATTTCCTTATTCATTTCAAATAAATTCTTAATTGTCTTGTTAATTAAGATGTCGGTGACCATAGTTGAGGCAAAGAACTTGCCCGGTGTTAATGTCAATCCAATGGTTGCAGTCACTGCCGCTGGAAAGACACAGAAAACAAATGTGAAATTCTATACAAACAATCCCTACTACAACAATTTGTTCTCTTTCGAGTACTTCCTTCCTCTTGTTGCGGTTCTGGACGAGCTTATTTGGATTCGTGTAAGTGGAACCACCTTCATTTCACTCTTCTTTTCTTTATACACATACTGAGTGCTAAATCTAATCAATAAATATTCTTATTTGGCAAAACTATATTGGAAGGCAAGCAACTTAACATGATTTCTCTTTATAAACTCATAAATGATATATACAATTTTCTAGGAAACAAATTGGATTTTATATGAAAGTTAATTTAAATTTTTTATAACACTGCTGTGAAAAGATTTTAATGCAGTCGGTAGTATAATATGGAAACCACGATTTGATAAGCACTTCTGTATACATTCCCAATTTCACATCTATTTAACACATCAACAGGTATATAGCTTGAACGCCAAGATGCTCGCACGAATACTCCCTGGAAAGTTAATTGGTGAATTCGTTATCGATGTTCGATCAATCTATGAAAGCAAAGGTTAGTGTCAAAATCAAGATTACATATTGTCTTTCAATAGCTTCCATGGTTGACCTCTTTTACGTTTTCAGGCCATGTTCTTACAAACAAATGGGCCGTCTTGATCGACCCAAAGAAGCCCCTAAGTGGACCTCAGGGCTACGTTAGAATTGATCTGTCTTTCCTCGGAAAAGACGATATTCCCAAGGTTTGTTCTGTAGCTGGACATTATTTTGTATGAAATTTTTATCTAATTTTCTTTTCGTTCGGATATAGCACATCAAACACGAGAAAGACGGCGAGGAGATAAGCCTTGAAGGGTAAAATATCACCAATTTTCCAGACAACATAATTTTGATATTATTTTCTCAATGCTATCCCTTTGTCCTCATTTTAGGAATCAACTCGTTCCTAAAGGAATTACTAATCTTGCCAAGAGAAACATTACAGAGTTTTCTGTTAAAATCTACCGAGCAGAAGGCTTACCACCAATGAATACAGATATCATCACTTCAATAAAACAGGCTTTTGCCGGTGAATCAGCTCCTATGTGCGATCCCTTTGTGGAGGTATATTTCGGTGGGCATAAGGTATGCTTACAACCGTTAGACCAAACATTTTCCTCATTGTTAGGAGTTTGTGGTATTGAAGTATCCTACTTTTTTCTACCTTAGGCAAAGACAAAGGTTAAGAAGTACACTTATACTCCAATTTGGAATCAGGAGATCATATTTTGTGATTTCTTTCCTCCTCTGACTCACACAATTCGTCTGGAAGTCAAAGACTGGGAGCCGGTGAAAGATGAGATCATCGCCACTCATTTAATTGATCTCAAGTCGATTCTAGATAAGAGTAGTGAGAGTGAGTTATTTGGTTAATGTGAGAAGTAGAAAAGAATCTCCTGCTCAAATCACCCACTTTGAATTTGTTTTACACAGATGTGATGCCGACCTTTGGTCCGTCCTGGGTAAATCTTTATGGAACGCCAAGAACTTACACTTACGAACAAGCTAGAAGACCCGATGACGAATTGAATCGAAGTCTGGGAGAAGGTGTTGCTTATCGTGGACGTCTGCTGCTTGCCATCAAGGCTCAACCAAGTAAGGATGCTATGAAGACTGGAGCTATCACTCGAGGAACACCACCGGTTTCTGAGGTAAGAAGAATCATGCAAGTTGTTGATTGTTTTTAAATTTGTTAACAAATGACCAAAACAAGTTTCAAAAATTAGCACCGATTGATCTACCATGGAAGTAATTCATATTGTTGGTTTTGATGCATACAATGATGTTAGAATTAAACTTTCCTGAGAGCATGGCACTCAATAAGAGGAACATAAAAAATTGCCCATTTAATAGAATAAGGCAAGAATGATTTTGAATTATTACCATGCCAAAGCTATGTATGCAATAATAGTTCAAGCCCATGTCAATATGTGAACTAATAGCAGTCAAACACACGGAAAAAGGAAGTGTAACATAAAATAAATGGCATACAGGGATCGTAATTAACTTGCATTCAGTCAATGTACTAAATTTGTATAATCTTGAAAATTATTAAATATAAATTGACAACACAGGTAGATATGTAATAAAATTGAACAGTATGAATCTTTTATAATTAATTATTTAATATTTAAGTATTTTATGCTTTCAGTTTGTGGCTGGTCGTAAGAATCCCTATTTACTCTTCATTGCTTTCTACGGCGTCTCCGTCGTGGATCCAGAAATCGGCGCTGAAAAGTTGCCTATTCAGTTTGAAGTTAGTATAGGTAAGTTTTTTTCTGTCAAGCATGAATAAAGTAAAATCTAATCAGTTCTTTGCCTGTAATCCTTCCCATCAATTATTTCAGGCAACTATGGTAATAAGATTGATGGCAAAAAGGGTGGTATTCTCATGAGAGAAGAGCAACCACGTGAGTTTCTTTCCCCTTTGAGCTTTATTAATTATTATACCTTCATTCTTCTTTTAAACACCATTTATAATAAGATATTCAGCGGTGTATATCAGATTGAAGTAATTGTCAACCGTAATGTTTAAAAATAGCCAAAACTCGACTAGCAAAAATCGAGTGTCTCATCAGAAAACTCCGATTTTCTAAACCTTTATTTATCCTGTGTATGAAATAATATGATCCCCCTGTGAACCTCTATTCAATACTAAGTTATTTAATTGATTTTATTATATTATTTAGGAATCCGTGTTGGTACGCTTTTGAATATTCCTGGTTGCCTAACACAACGCTAACCACTTTTGATGTGCCCTAATTAAGGGATGTTTACCTTTTTGTGCTGCTATTTCTTACTTTCTTAGAACCCAAGTAACAGAAAGTTATGAAACTTTGGTCAGAAGAGATAATCATCTGAAATTCTTATATAAGTGAAACGGTGTTTGGAGATCAGTGGGGCATCTCGTATCCCTATTTTCAACAAAAGGGATTTCTCATCTCCTTACTGTATTTAATTAAAATTTTAGAAATTTATTTATTCCAAATGGCAAATGTTTTGATGGTTATCACTAGCCCTTTAGTTGACTTCAGGCTTCACAGAGGGGAAGGAGCATCAAAGTGAAAGAAAGTCGAAGGATCAGGGGGGGGGGGCAACAGAAGAGAGTTTCAAAGATGTGACAGACACAAAGGCATAGAAAAGGTAAGACGAGTACTGTGGAAGTGGTAGAATGTGACATACAGTGGGGTGATGGTAGTTTGAAGTGAG